GTATCTTTGAGGTAAATACCCAGTAGTGCAATTGCTGGATCGTATGGTAGCTCTATTTTCAACTGTTTGAGGAACCTCCATACTATTTTCCAGAGTGGTTGCCCCAGCTTGCATTCCCACCAACAGTGTAGGAGGGTTCCCCCAAAAAGGAATTTTCTTAAAAAATAAAACAAACCTCTAACAAACATACTCAATGGTGAAAATTTAGATGCACTTCTTTAAAATAAGGAACAAAACGAGGACACACACAATAAATTCTTTTACTCAAAACTACCCTAGAGGGGCGGCGGCTGGTGGCTCAGTCGATTAAGCATCTGACTTTGTCTCAGGTCATGATCTCAGGGTCCTGGGATAGAGACCTGTGTCGGGCTCCCTGCTGAGCAGGAGTCTGCTTGTCCTTCTCCCTCTCCCTCTGCTCCTTCCCCTGCTTGTGCTCTCTCCCTCAAATAAATAAATAAAATCTTGAAACAAAAATATTCTAGAGATATTATTCAATGAGGAAAGAATGACTATTGAGTGGCTACCGGGACAACTATACAACTCCCTCCCCCTAAAATAAATGAATAAATAAAAGTTAAAAATTAAATATACCTCACTCCATAAACAGACAATTTCAGGTAGATTAAGGACTTACGTGTTAAGGCATTTACATGTCTAACAGACAACGACAGAGAATATTTTTATGATAGATTTCTCAAACAAGAAAAAATGGGTATATTCTGCTAAATCAAAAATTTGCCCATCAAAAGATCCTTGAAAGAAAGAAAGAAAGAAAGAAAGAAAGAAAGAAAGAAAGAAAGAAAGAAAGACTGAAATTGGGAGAATATATTTCTTTTTTTTTTTAAGATTTTTATTTATTTATTTGACAGAGAGAGACACAGTGAGAGGGAACACAAGTAGAGGCAGTGGGAGAGGGAGAAGCAGGCTTCCCGCCAAGCAAGGAGCCCGATGCAGGGCTCGATCCCAGGACCCTTTACATTTTACAACCATCAGATTAGAAAAAATGAAAAAATATATCAATATCTAATGTTGATAAGGATATGGAGCAATAGGAATTCATACACTGCTGGTGGAAATATAAACAGGCACAATTACCTTGCTAAACAAGCTGCTATTATCAATATAGTTGAACACAAGCATAACTTACGACCTAGCAAACTACACTGCTAAGTCAGTATGTTTGCCTTAATAGAAACTTGCACAAGAGTACAAGGAGAAAAGTATATGAGTGTTTCAGAGCCACACTGCTCTGTTGCTTCACACTGGAAACCCAAATGTCCGTAAGCATGAGAAAAGACAGATATACCATGTTATCGTCATGGATTTCATACAGTAGTGAATAAATATAATAAATATAATAATAGTTTTCTTTCTTTGAGCCTCTACTATGTGACAACCACTATTTATTTACATTTATCAACTCATTTAATTCACACAACCCTCGAAGTACGTACTCTAATTATCTCCACGAAAATTAATGAACCAGACACATATACTGTTAGGATAAATCTTAGCAAAATTTAATGAAAAAAGTAAATCACAAAAGCATACACACAATAAGTTATCACACAATAAAGTATAAAAACAAGCTAAACAATTAGAGATACATACAAATGTCTAAATCTATTCCTTTTTTTAGAAATTGACACAAAATTCAGGACAGTCATTTGGTTTTTCTTGTTTTTGTTTTTTTATTTCAAGATACTTTTTTTTAATATAGATTCTAAAGTTATCTCTACACCCAACATGGGGCTCAAACTTACAACCCTGAAATTAAGAGTCACAGGCTCCACCAACTGAGCCAGTCAGGTGCCCCTCAAAATACTTTTTTTTCTTAAGATTTATCAGGAAGAGGGGCAGAGGGGGTGAGAGAGAGGAGGGAAAGAATCCTAAGAAGACCACACTGAGAGCAGAGGCCATGCAGGGCTTGACCCCAGGACTCTGAGATCATGACTTGAGCCAAAACCAAGAGTAGGGTGCCCAACTGACTGAGGGGGCCAAGAACCCAAGATACTTTATTTTTTAAAACAGGTCACAACACTAAGCTTTTGGCCCATTCTGCCAATGTATAAGCTAGAAACACTTGCTCAGCAGCTGAGGAGCACTCTTTAGTAGCATGTGTGAGAAGTGAATAAAAATCCTATAAAAATAATTATTCAAATATTTTCCATAGGAACACAGATAACTGGCCCCATCTCCTAGCCTTCCATATTGTTGCATCCATGCCAACTCTACTTACAAAGACTTTTCAAAACCAGCAGTAATTAAGTTAAATGGTCCCCTCAAATCCCACAATTCAAGCTAAGCTTAAAGTGAACAGCTACAGGAGTGGCACCTACACATGAGTGCTAGCTGAAGCACAAGCAACAGGGGGATGCTTCATCCTACTCTCCCAAGCACAGGACACAGACAGAGGGCTTATGTCCTATTCCTCTACTTTGGGCAGGAAGTCGTGGTTCTAGATTTGCTGCATCGGTTGCCATGTTGGCCCCGAAATGTTATAGTATCTAGCTGGCCTCTGGTACCCATCCAAAGTAGAAGCAGCAGCAACAGTGTAAGCACCCACATTTTCAAACAGCATCCAATCGCCCACATGCATCTCGGGCAAATCACAGCTCTCAACAATGTGATCAAGGCTGTCACACATTGGTCCCAATATGCTAGTTGAATAGTACCTCGAATCTGGTTTGGGTCTCTTCTGCAGAAGGGGCTTCACATGTGCATGATCATAAAGGATCCAATTAAATGATCCATATACTCCATCACTCACGTAATAAAGGCTTGTTCACTCGATTCATCCTCATCATCAGAGCCTGTCTGTTCCTTTAATACAAGTTTTCTGGCAATGATATTAACTGCAAGCATGAAAGCTGATGTAACGTGGTATCTGTCGGGCTCAGCTATGCTTCTCAATCCTGAGTCTGATGCTGGTGTAGGAGGCTGAGGGGACTGACCAGGACGGTCGCTTTGGATGCACAGGGTGAAGGGGACTATAAGGAGAATGTGATCAAGAATGTAAGGCTACTAGATTGGGTGGTAAATTCCCAGGTGTTGATTTTATTATGTTTTCTAACTTAAATATACATTATATATATTCTTTCATATATATAAAATATTTTGTAACAAAAATCTCACCCTTAAAAAAATTTCCCTTGTATTTATATCCTCACTTAATAATAAAATACATTAAGTTTATTAATAACAGCTAACATTTACTAAGCATTTAAAATATGCCACATACTGTACAAGTTTTATGTGCATTATTTCATTTAATCATAACAAAGCTGCTGAGGTAAGTACTACATTATCTTCATCTTACAGATGAGGAAACTGAGGCACAGGAAAGTTTTCAACTTCCCCAAAGGGCCACACAGCCAGGATTTTAAATATGAAGGCAGTCAGGATTGAAACTGAAGTCATTTTGATTAGTCTATGCTGTTAACCAATTTCCTACACTGTCTCTATGTTTAAAACAACATTTGATATATAAGTGGATATTTGTGTATTTTTCATGGCGGCAGGGGAAGGGGGCAGGACAGAAGTAACAACTGGATTAGCAACATGGAGGTTACTGGTAAGCTTCTGACAATAGCAGTTTCAGCAGGAAGAATGGGGATAGAAGCAATAGGCTAAGGTGAGAATGAGAGATGAGATATGAAAGCAATATTTGGACTTTTAGCAGGAGCTAGAAAGGAGAATGAAATCAAGGAAGGACTGACTGGATTTCACATAGAGATGAGAATGATGAAGAGGAAGAAAATGTTGGTGTAATAGATCAAGAGGATAATCATAAGAGCCAAGAACTTGAGCAGCTGAGATAGTAGAGGATCCAGAACATGTCTTTGAAAACATGTAATAAAAAGTGTTTTGAAATATTTAGATTATCAGTGTACTTAAATGATATGCAGCACCATGAAATCTGACTGCTTGAGTAGTGGTACATTCGGACTTCTGCCGTTTTACTGTCCGTGTTCAGTTTACCATTCCCCCTGTCCTTTTTTTTGCTTTTATTTTTATTTTGCCTTTCTTGCCATCTGTTAGATTGATAAAATTATCTACATCTTCTTCCCGCCCCATCC